TTCGGTCGCCGCCATCTTCACGAGGACGAGGCTCGCCTCCTTTTCGAGGCCAAGTACCCGGTCCCGCCGGACATGCGGGTGCCCGGGGCTTGAAGGATCAGCGCCGGCGGCGTGCCGGTGCCACCACCACCCACCGGGGCGACGCAGCGTGCGGAGATCGCACGTATCCGCGCGTCCCTGCCGCGGGCGTCGAGGGAGGGGCCATGGTACGTCCCCGATAGCCCGCTCTAGGAGCCCTACTTCCGACGCCGTCACGCCGAGCAGCTCGAGGCCACCAACGGCGTCGTGCCCTCCGGCAGGCTCAACTCCGATGGCCGGCGCCGGTGGTGGGGCGTGCCTGGCCGCACGTTGGAGGCCGTCCTCGAGTCGAGTACATCGAGGGCGGCAACACGCCGCGCCTCAAGTACCCCGCTCCCCCGTCCTTCTCACGCCGCCGTGGAAGCTCCGGGACGCCGAGGCGCATGGAGAGGCCCGGGGCGTCCTTCTCCACGTCCGGCCGCTCGTCAGGCTCTCCCTGCCTCCGCCCCGTCAAGCCGGAGCCCCAGGACACGCCTGTCAGCGCGTGCACCCGCTGCTCCGGCGTCCGCATCGGCGACAACGCCCCCCCCCCCACCGGCCGCTTCGTTCTCGTCGAGCCCAAGCCGGAGCCCGGCCTCCCCGCAGAGTACGAGGAGATAGCCCGGCGCGGCTTCTCCGACGAGGACGCCCTGCGGTGGGCGCGGGACGACTACCTTCGGACGGAGATGACCCGGCAGACCCGGGCCCTGGAGGAGATCGCCGCCCGCAAGCGTGGGCGTGAGGATGAGCACGGCATCATCGTCCTCGACAGCGACGACGACGACGACGCCCCCGGACCGTCCAACCCGCCGCACCAACCGGGGGAGGGATGCAGCAGGGACGGCGGTGGCGGCGGCGACTACACGCGGTTCTAACGCCTCCTCGGCATGTAGAACTGTAAAGGTGGGCGGCGGGCGGCGAGCGGCGAGGAGCGGCGATGGAGACGGCGGGGGCAGCCCGTGCTAGTTTTTTTTTCTTCTTTTTTTTGTAAAATATGTTTAAATTTGAACGAACTCACCGATGTTTACGATAAATTTAAGCCGTGTTTGCATCGTATTTGATTTTTTAAAAAAACGTGGGTGCTGCGACTGGGGGCATAGTGCGCGGTTTAGCGCCGGTGCACCCCCAGGAGGCGATTTTTAGCCTCTCCTAGGGCCAACGGCTGGAGATGCTCTTAGCAGAGTTGATTTGCCGCGACCCTCTCATCTAACTGCCATCAGCAATAGCATCGCCCACGGTCATGGTTTTGGCTCTCGAGAGACTAAATATATTTGGGTAGCAATCCATAGGAGCCATGGCATCCAAGCATCGGCCAGACAAGAACTTAGCTTGATTGCCGTCACCAATCGAGATCCAAGTGCAAGATTGGAACATCTGTCGATCAGAGGTGTCACAGGGAACAACCGTACCCTTCCATGAGCTTCCTCATCCACATTCCAAAGAAAATTCCGTCTCAGCCTGTCAAACTTCTTTACAAGCCACTTTTGAGGAGCAAAGGAGGTGAGGAAAAATGTGGCAGTTGCTCTTAGTGCAGCAACCCTAGTTGGTAGGGGCGATAGAACGCACGCATGCGAGGGAGGGAGGAAGGGTCAGAGGAGGGCTTGGGAGCGGTATGAACTCCCGCAAAGTCCTTCACGTTTGTCTCATGTTTACGGACGGAAGAGAAAGTATTGTCCGAAATGGGGAGGTTTGTGGGTGGGTGTTGGGCAAGTTTGCAAGGTGCTCATTGCTCAGTGCTCACAGACGAGTGGGGCCACCGGCGCCTCTCTGTATACTTGGACTCCACAGCGCCAGCCAGCCAGATCCAGCGCACTCCCCCGGATGCCGGAGGACATGGAGGAGTCCAAGCCCGCCCACCCGCATGTTAATCACCTCAAACTTTGCATGTTTTCTAACGGTACATTTTGCAGATATATTAGCGCCATTGAAAGAAATCCAGAAGACCCTGATGCATATTATAACTGGGCCCTAGTTCTCCAGGTAAAAGTGCATTCCTTATTTGCAGTACGCACCAGCTCCTACATTGCTTAAAGATGACCTTTGCAGGACTTCATCTATTGTGTTGCCTAAAGCATGCTAGTGAAATGAACATTGCAAGAGAAATGTTTTAGCCTTTTCAAATATATTTGCAGGAAAGTGCTGACAACGTCGATCCTAATTCTGATTCTTCAAAAGATTCATTACTTGAGGAGGCTTGCAAGAAGTATGCTGAAGCTACTCGACTTTGCCCAACACTGTATGATGTAAGTTCACCGCTCCGACTTTATTGGTTCATCTTCTGGGCTCTATCGGAAACTGTTAAGATTGTTGCCTTTTCATACCAAAGAGAATTGGTACCGTAGTGCCTTGGTATGGACACTAATTTTATATAGAAATCAATGAGATGCGCATGAATATCGTTTATGCATTTATTACGCCTCATGCTAACTTGCTGCTCTGCTGAGAAACATCACAGTTCTCAACTTCTCATTGCCTCTTTCTTATCCTTTTAGGCATATTACAACTGGGCTATTGCTATAGCTGATCGGGCCAAAATGCGTGGGCGTACCAAAGAGGCTGAAGAACTCTGGCAGCAGCTCATAAACAATGTTAATAGAGTTTGCTTGCATTCTGTGATGGTTCTGTTTTTACTATGCTAGACCAAAGGGCAAAAGGTTCATATCCCCTGTTCTGTCATATTTCAAGTTCCCATCCACTGTTCTAGTTTTGGTCTTCTTCAGATTGCCAGTAGAAAAGGGGCAATGCTATTTTCTTAAGTCGCTAACTGAACGTACGCTATAATAATATTTTTTTTTAAATCTTGATTACATAGTTACTCTGTCAAATGGTAGTAGTCTAGAAATCAAGTTGCAACTCCCAGCATTAAGCAAAATATAATATTTAGTCCCTTACCATCTCCTTCTTGCTGCATATTGTTCTTTCTTAAGAATAAGGGTGTGCTTCTTAACTACTCCCTCTGTCCCACAGTATAAGATGTTCTTATATTATGGGACGGAGGGAGTAATAGATAACATTCCCGACTTTGTACCATTACATTGGAAAATGGCCTGATCGTTTTTTTCTACATTAAAAAAAACTATATTGTTCAAATGCTTTATTTTGATGAGTTACTATATACTCATTGTTTTCTTCCCTTTCAGGCTATAAGGAACTACGACAAGGCAGTCCAATTAAGTTGGAACAGCCCCCAGGTGAGTACTGACTCTCTTGAATGATTTAGGGCAAATAATAAATGCTTCTCCTAATTTTGAAGTGTTGGAGTTAAAGAACGTGGTAAAAAGTTCACCATAGGAAACCATTGGAATATGGTCTGAGCAATAGTCATCACGAATACCGGCAACATAAACGCGCACAATCACCAAACATATGATATCACACAGATATTCTTTGAGCTATTACTTTACTCCACACTACCACAGTTCTAAGGTTTCACTAGAGAAAACATTGTGAGAGTCCGTACAGTTGCTTTTGAGCAGTCAATCTCCATTAGATGACTTTTTCTGAGAACACTGTTTAAGTGATTCTATCCATTTATGCCCAAGTTACATTAAGTTCTCATATTTGATACATCAAGTTAAATTGCTTTACATTTAGTATGTCAGTTCAGTTCTCTGAAATAAGACATTTACATTCAAATGCCGTGATCTCGCATGAAGTAGTTAATTTCTTCTCGTTTTCCATAAATCCTCTAAATTTATGTAATTGGCCATTAATCTTCATGCCTCATGTCTGTCTCTTTGATTGCAGGCTCTCAACAACTGGGGCCTTGGACTACAGGTATATTAGCTTATGCACTGTAATATCAGAAATGACTAACTCTTCATCCATACATTTTGCTTTTCAATCATTTTCAAGGGTACAAACTTGTGATGCAGGAATTGAGTGCGATTGTTCCTGCTAAAGACAAGCAAACAATCATAAAAACAGCTATAAGTAAGGTAGTTGCACTTTATATCTTTGCGGACATTATTTCTGAGCATTACTTCTGTGCAGTGCTTTTATCACAAAATGTATATTCAAGGAAGTGTTGAAACTAAGTTTCTTTTGTTTTGTCGCACAGTTTCGTTCTGCCATCCAGTTGCAGTTTGACTTCCACCGGGCTATTTATAACCTTGGAACTGTCCTGGTGTGTTTTCTTACTCTATTTGATGGTGACTGAAACGGTGGACAGCAGTGCTTCAATTCGAATGCATGTTAGCTTATTGAACTCTGGTAACAATAATCAACGCCCTCTTGTTTCCTTTTTATGCTGCAGTAGGATACCTCGAGGTCTGGGGGTCCTGATACCTCTCCAAATGATCTGTATAGTCAGTCTGCTATTTACGTTGCAGCTGCTCATGCATTGAAGCCAAATGTGAATTTCTTCTTTTGCCACTGTGCTGCCTGCTAATTTCCCTATTGGTTCTTTCTGGAAGCTTGCGATTTTTCACTGTAACTGTAAGCAATTCAGTCATCTCGTGCCATAAAATAGTCTAACTCAGCTTTATTTCATTTCCCTAAGTTGTGAAAGTCTTACTGTCTGCCCTTGTTTGTAACAATATCTTACCACAACGTTATATTTGTTGAATGTAGAACTGTTTACTCGTCACCCATTTCAGTATTTCTGATTGTTATACTTGTATGTCAGTCTACTGATTTTATCGCTTCGAGTTTTCAATAGCCAGCCCATGGGCTTTGGTAGCACCTTATAGTTCTCAGGGGTACTTGTGATACGCAAGATTGTGACCCTTTTGGCATTATGCATCTAGAAGATTAATTTCCACTGTTGGTTACTCATTAACTAATATTTAGGCATAACAGTTGTCAACGCCTACTTAAGTGCTGTTGTGTGCCTTTTAGCATGATGTATCTAGAAGATTAATTTCCACTTGTTGGTTACTCAGTAACTAATATTTAGGCATAACAGTTTTCAACGCCTACTTAAATGCTGTTGTTTGCATAATATGCAGGTTTATCGCAGTGCTCTACGGTTAGTCCGGTCAATGGTACGTTGGCAGCTCTAAGATTTCAGTTTTTTTGCTCTACAGTCTGTACAATTGTATCATGTGTTGTGTGTATAGCTTTAAGCAGCCCATCTCTGTATTTGACTGGTTGGTGCTCCGGTAGATCATAGATGAATCTGAGATGTCCCGTAATGTTGCTATTTTGCTGGTGTCAGGGCTAACTTCAAATAGGAATACCCTGTCAAAAAAAAAAGAGAGGAATACTGGATCCTTGATTTTGCGAGTTATCCATCAAAACTCGACCAACCGCATTTTTCTAAACAAGATATGTGGGCAGCCACCCTGTGGAGTTGACTCAAATGCTGGTGGGCGTGCCTGGGAGCACTCCTGCTCCAGCTAGCCACGAGTCATCCATCATATTCTAAAAGTTATGCACAGTTATTGAAATACAATTGATTTGATTACATGGTTGTGCACAAAGCAGAACATAAAAACTAGTAATAGAAGCACAGAAATCATGAAATGCCTTCTAATTACAGAATGTAAACTCTGAACTTGTAAGTGTGCCTCTCCAGTAAGATTTGTGTGTGTGCCCTCGGCGGTGTGTGAGCACCGAGGAGAACATTCACCTTCCTTTTGTTTTATATTTAATTTTCAATTTGTTTTGGTAAGTATGCATATGTTGGGGCAGTCTCGGTTATGGAGTTTGTGACATCCTTGTTGTTATGACTATGCCTTGCAGCTGACTTTGCCATATTTGAAAGTGGGATATTTGACTGCTCCTCCGGCAGACGACCCCATTGCACCACACAAACATTGGGAGAGGTCACAGTTCATCTTAAACCATACGGAACTCCAGCAGGTAGTTGTGTTACTGATGATAACGCATAGCCTACTTGTGTGCCTATTCATATCACTGCTAGGATCCATCTTGTTTTATGCTACTCCCTCCGTTCATTATTATAAGACGTTTTGGACAGCTAGCTTTGAACTGTTTTGGGCACTGTCTGAATTGTCTAGAACGTCTTATAAAAGTGAACAGAGGAAGTACTGAGTTTGCAATCATAAATCTAAGGTCAATGATTCCGAAAGCGCACCTGTCAAAGCAAACGCGCTCGTGGAGAAAGCCAAAAGGTTTATCAAGGTAGACGTCGCGGACATAGTTTCAGTGTCCACGTGCTCCGATCTCACGCTGCCGCCTGGTGCTGGCCTCTGTATAAACACAACTCATGGGCCCGTGTTCTTGGTATGCACCTCCTCTTCTTGAACTGATGCCTTAAAAAGCGTTCTTGGTTTTCGAACTAATTGTCCACCTCTCTGTTTTCTCCGTGTCAGGTTGCTGATACCTGGGAGTCTCTCGATGGCTGGCTTGATGCGATACGTCTGGTGTACACCATATTTGCAAGAGGGAAGACCGATGTCCTGGCGGGCATCATCACCGGCTGATCAATGATGTCTTGCTGTATGTGTGACTAGCTGTGTCTGGACAGTGCGACATGTATATCAATATGTATTCTGTGTCAATTCAAAAAAACCTCCCCTCCCCTCCCCTTGACTGCTCCGATGTGAATTTTCAGAGTTTGTGTAGAGTAATGTGGTTACCCATCCGAATCATAGGCGGTGTTGTTTTGTACCTGTAACACATATATACCTTCAAGTATGCAAGACTTGTAATAGACAACGGATGAGAAGATGAGTTTGTACTGTCATCTAAAGTTCAAATGTTCAAATGTTTGTATGGTCTGCCCTGTATTTTGACTTCCCCAAATTTGAACCTCTGTTGTATTAGGGTCGACGTCCTAGTGAGACCGTGGCACCTTTTGATTGTCTGTACCACTTATCTCTATCTATCTATTCGTGTTTGTTCAAATTATTTGAACTTGTCTCTATGTATCTACTCAGTTTCTTCAAATTATTTTGACTCAAAATTTCTTTCCCTATATGTTGTCAAAATGACGCTGAGGTAGTCCAAGAAAAAGAAACTGCACCTCATTTTCCTTCTATTTCTCTCTCCTCGTACCCTTGAGAGTTGAGTCTCCTAGGGGAAAATATTAGGGTGTGTTTGGTAAGATGTATGGACCTAGCTTAGTTGTTCTCCTCTCAGACATGCTGAGTCCATGCATTTTCCCGTTGTTTGGCAGCGGTGTATGCGCTAAGATATGCTGAGCTGAGAGTTTGTTAGTTAGCCTGCATGTGTTTAGACATGCTGAACAATCTTGAATTCCGAACATACTTTTTGAATGGTGAACAAAATAAAAAAACGTGAACAAAATTTAAGTATGTTCTGAAATTCTGATTTTTTTTATTGATTTTTTTTTTAAATTCTAAACATTTTTTGGAAATTTAAATAAATTTTGGAATTCTAAACATTTTTAGAAAATTTAAATAAAATTTGAAATTCTGATTTTTTTTGAAAATTTAAATAAATTTTGAATCTGAACATTTTGTGTAAATTTAAACATATTTTGGAATTCTGATTTTTTTGAAAATGTAAACAAAATTTGAAATTCAAAACATATTTTAAAAATTTGAACAAAATTTGAAATTCTAATCATTTTTGAAAATTTTAACAAAATTTGAAATTCTAAATATTTTTCTGAAAATTTAAACAAAATTTGAAATTTGGAATATTTTTTGAAAATTTAAACAAATTTGGAAATTCTGATTTTTCCATTTTTTTGAAATTATGTATATTTTTTTGTTTTTTTTGAAATTATGAACATTTTTTCAAAGTTTAAACATATTTGGACGTGGTCTGGTGGGTGAGGACGAGATGGACATGGCCGAGGGCCCTTATTTGCATCAGATGGGCATAGTCCAGGTGAGCCCATGCACTCTACCAAACAAGCAAAAGTGGGTCGGATTGGCCCTCATGCACCCTCCATGCATCCTAACAAATACACCCTATGCTCCCATGTTTAAAAAAATATATCAAATTTGAATGTGTCAAAAAATTCTATTTTTTGTGATTGTTCTCAAGACATGTATATGTTATCCCTAAATATTTCAAATCTGAAATCAAAATACATATGGGGAAATAAAACAAGACAAATCTAGATGTGAATACTGTTTTTTCCTTTTTTGTGACACTATTCGTGCCAGATTTGTCATTTTTGTTTCTCTGTGTGCATTTCGAATTTGGCATGAACTTTTTAGGGGATGTAGACATATATGTCTTGTGAACATCCAATTTTTTTATTTTTTTATTTGGAAATTCAAATTTGAGTTTCTGAATGTTGGAGCATGGGAGCATATAAGACTTTTGGGGCACTTTGTACTTTCCTGAACTCCTTAGCTCCTCTCCACATTTTTTTTCTTTCTCTCTCCTCCTCGCACCCTTGGGAGTCTACTAGTTCTACCTAGATCCCCTCCATCTTTGGTGGCGGTGCCCAGAATGATACAAGTTCAACTTTAAACAAGTGATGAGTGCTCAACAAGATTTATTACGTGATATGGCTAAATCTGCTAAGAAGTATGATGCTTATGTGTTTACTACATGAGTTGCCCATACTCCAGAATCTCTATATCCTGAAGGACACCATAAAAGAGTAGAACAAGATTCTCGAAATGTGGATAGTAATGTTTTTTGTTCATCTACAAAGAATAAGGAAAAGAAGCCTGAGCACGTTGAACCTGCTTATGATAGTTCTAGAGAACCTCATATTGTTAATGAAGCTCAAGAGAATCCTAATAGTGGGGATGAACAAGAACCCCCTCAACAAGATGATAATAATGATGATGTTATAGAGTCTGATAAGAAAATGAAGGAGAAGTACAACCTGCTATAGAGGAAGATGTTCCTGTTCAAACTAAGAAACATGATAAGAGAAACAAAGAAACTAGGAAGCATGGTAAAGAAAAAGAGCCATGGGTTAAAAACCCATGCCTTTTTGTAATGAGCTTTCTAAGACTAAAGATGATGAACATTTTGCTAGATTTGTTGATTTGCTTAGACCTATCTACTTGCAAATTCCTTTGGCTGATGCTATTAAAGTTCCCCCTTATTCCAAGTATATGAAAGATATTATTACTAACAAGAGGAAGATTGCAAATGTCGAGATATCTACGATGCTTGCAAATTATTCTTTTGAAGGAAAGAATACTGAAAAACTTGGAGATCTAGGAATACTGCTACCTCTTGAGAACTACGTTGTTTTTCCCTTAAAGAGGAAAGGGTGATGCAGTAAAGTAGCGTAAGTATTTCCCTTAGTTTTTGAGAACCAAGGTATCAATCCAGTAGGATATCACGCTCGAGTCCCACGCACCTACACAAACAAATAAGAACCTCGCAACCAACGCGATGAAGGGGTTGTCAAATCCCTTCACGGTCACTTACGAGAGTGAGATCTGATAGATATGATAAGATAACATTTTTGGTATTTTTATGATAAAGAGTAAATAAAGATGCAAAGTAAAATAAACGACAATAGAAATAGCTAAGTGTTGGAAGATTAACATGATGGAAGATAGACCCGGGGGCCATAGGTTTCACTAGTGGCTTCTCTCAAGAGCATAAGTATTACGGTGGGTAAACGCATTACTGTCGAGCAATTAATAGAATTGAGCATAGTTATAAGAATATCTAGGTATGATATGTATATAGGCATCATGCCCGTGACAAGTAGACCGAAACGATTCTGCATCTACTACTATTACTCCACACATCGACCGCTATCCAGCATGCATCTAGAGTATTAAGTTCATAAGAACAGAGTAATGCTTTAAGTAAGATGACATGATGTAGAGGGATAAACTCATGCAATATGATATAAAGCCCATCTTTTTATCCTCGATGGCAACAATACAATACATGCCTTGCTGCCCCTGCTGTCACTGGGAAAGGACACCACAAGATTGAACCCAAAGCTAAGCACTTCTCCCATTGCAAGAAAGATCAATCTAGTAGGCCAAACCAAAGTGATAATTCGAAGAGACTTGCAAAGATAACCAATCATACATAAAAAAACTCAGAGGAGATTCAAATATTGTTCAGAGATAAACTTGATCATAAACCCACAATTCATCGGATCTCGACAAACACACCGCAAAAGAAGATTACATCGAATAGATCTCCAAGATGATCAAGGAGGACTTTGTATTGAGATCCAAAGAGAGAAGAAGCCATCTAGCTAATAACTATGGACCCGATGGTCTGAGGTAAACTACTCACACATCATCAGAGAGGCTATGGTGTTGATGTAGAAGCCCTCCTTGATCGATGCCCCCTCCAGCGGAGCGCTGGAAAAGGCCCCAAGATGGGATCTCATGGGTACAGAAGGTTGCGGCGGTGGAAATAGGGTTTTGGCTCCGTATCTGAAGTTTCCAGGGTATATGGGTATATATAGGAGGAAGAAGTACGTCAGTGGAGCAACGACGGGCCCACGAGGGTGGAGGGCACGCCTGGGGGAGGTGGGCCCCCCTACCGTGTGCCTTCCTTGTTGATTGCCTTACGTAGACTCCGAGTCCTCTGGATCACGTTTGTTCCAAAAATCACGTTCCCGAAGGTTTCATTCCGTTTGGACTCCGTTTGATATCCTTTTCCTTCGAAACACTGAAATAGGCAAAAAACAATAATTTGGGCTGGGCCTCCGGTTAATAGGTTAGTCCCAAAAATAATATTAAAATGTATAATAAAGCCCATTAAACATCCAAAACAAAATATAATATAGCACAGAACAATAAAAAATTATAGATACGTTGGAGACGTATCAAGCATCCCCAAGCTTAATTCCTGCTCGTCCTCGAGTAGGTAAATGATAAAAACGGAATTTTTGATGTGGAATGCTACTTAGCATAATTTTCAATGTAATTCTCTTATTTGTGGTATGAATATTCATATCCGAAAGATTCAAGACAAAAGTTTAATATTGACATAAAAATAATAATACTTCCAGCATACTAACTAAGCAATTATGTCTTCTCAAAAAAACATGGCCAAAGAAAGTTATCCCTACAAAATCATATAGTCTGGCTATGCTCTATTTTCATCACACAAAATATTTAAATCATGCACAACCCCGATGACAAGCCAATCAATTGTTTCATACTTTTGGTGTTCTCAAACTTTTTCAATCTTCACGCAATACATGAGCGTGAGCCATGGACATAGCACTATTTGTGGAATAGAATGGTGGTTGTGGAGAAGACAAAAAAGGAGAAGATAGTCTCATATCAACTAGGCGTATCAATGGGCTATGGAGATGCCCATCAATAGATATCAATGTGAGTGAGTAGGGATTGACATGCAACGGATGCACTAGAGCTATAAGTATATGAAAGCTCAACAAAAGAAACCAAGTGGGTGTGCATCCAACTCGCTTGCTCATGAAAACTAGGGCATTTTGAGGAAGCCCATCATTGGAATATAGAAGGCAAGTTTTATAATGAAAAATTCCCACTAGTATATGAAAGTGATATCATAGGAGACTCTCTATCATGAAGATCAT